ATTACATTGCTGGATACTGCCACAAAAGGAACTAAAATAGTAGTTTAACCAAATCCAAGAGATTTGTGTGAGATACGGATTTTGATCTCACACTACCAAGTCAGGCACATATCTAAAAAACTACTAAATAAAATTCATTAAATATAACCTCACTAAAAGAAAAGAAAAGAAATAAAAAATAATAAAAAAAATTAAACAAATACAAAATAAGAGAAAATTTATTATGCTTGGGGTTAGTATGAATTCATTGTTAGAGATAGATTTATTATCATTAAAAAATATAATTCAAAGACTATGACAAGGACAAGGACAAGGTTAAGGACAGCATTATTTATTAAATTATTATTATGATGATGATAAAGATGATAAAGATGATATATGAAGTTGAGAAAATTACAACATTATTTATACATGTTAAAGGTTCTATCATACAATTCTCTGATTTCTTTGAAATCCTAATTTATCTTAATTAAATGTATTACTTTGTAGAATTATTTTCAGGTTATTTTTAAAGTGATCAATCATTTAAATTAAGGTTTCTGGTCCAAACTGTTTTCTCAAAGTCCGTACTAGTTTGGGCAATTTGGGCTTCTCAGCATGTTTTATAAACATGAACATTAAAAAACTACCAATCAACTTATTTTAACTTAAACAACTTTAAAGTAATTTCACCCAATTCTGGCTAATAACAAAAAATAGTTTGGGCTTATAAAAAAGTAATTTTTGCCCCCAGTGTTTCAGTAATTTCGGCTACTAATAAAAAGAGTTTCAGCTGAAAACCTTAATTTAAATTCCATTTAAATTTAATTAAGAATTAAAGTTTAGAATGCTAGAATATTTACTTCTCTGTTGTTTGAGATATTTTCCCATGAGCTAATTATTTTATTAGTGATTAAATAGCAAGATATTGCAGTAAACAGGCATCCCCCAGAAAAGGTCAATGCTATCACCAAGCCTACTTTGTAAAATTATATCAATATAGTAATAAACATTTTACATTAAAGTTTTCAATCCATCATGATTAATTTTTTCCAAGCACTTTTTTTTGAGAAAAACCAAATCTCAGGATTATACATGAAGTTGAAATTAAAAACCCAAAGTTGAAATGTTTTGGCTTGAGGCAACTACATAGTAAAAATCAGTTTTGACCTTATTTCAACCCTATTTTGACCAGATCTGCAAATGGTCAAAATAGTTTTGACTTCATGTATACTCAGAGGTATACATGGGATGGTAATTATTTTGCCAAAAACATGATACATAATACGTAATTATGAAATTAATTACGAAATCAATTATGGGTGACAAAATTAAATGACACCTATTATTTATCTCATTATACTAGTATAATGACATAATTTGTCAATTTTTTTTAGCATTACAGAATTTATTCTGTTATAACAACATGTCAGTATAATGGGAGAACCAATCAATCATTCTCATTTCTGAAAAAACATAAGGAAATAAAACTTACACTGGGATCAAGATTGACTGGCACATGGAAAATTCTGATAACACTTCTGTATAATGCTGGTCAATTTTGACCCAGCGTAAGTTTTAAATTTCCTGATAAAACATGACATTTTTGTCATACTGACATTTTTGGTTTGTACGGAAGGTGTTGCTATAATGGGAGTGACTTGTATTATGATATTTCCAATAATTAATTCGTTGTTATTCATAATTAATTTTGTCACCTGTAATTGATTTTGTCACCCGTAATTAATTTCATCACCCATAATTAGTTTTGTCACCTGTAATTAATTTCGTCACCTGTAATTAATTACATAATTACGTTTTTAAAGAGTGAAAGTGGTAATTAATTACATTAATTACAAATTACGTATTTACGGTAATTAGCTAATTACCATATCATGTATAGATGCATAATAATAATTTTTAAATTTTGTGTATATAGTGCAAGACATCTATATACAAATCCTGATGCTTTCCTCCAAATTTGATCAGTTTGTTTCACATGGTTTCAAATACAACTCAGAATATTGTTGAGTAAGTGCAGAAAATAAGCAGGGTAAGGTGTTGACAGTTGGTTTTTGTGTTTTATTCACTAAAGTAAAAAAAAAATTAAAAAATATATTCAAAAACATGTTCCTAGCACATAAATTTCTTTGATTTTCAATACAACATACTCTGAGCAATTTAAATGATTATTGAGTGATTATGAAAGAGAAAATTGAATAGTATTTATTTATTTTGATTATTATAATTTGGATTTTTTAAAAAAATTTTTTTTGTTTACATATTATGGAAACATCATGTAAACCCCACGGCTTCATACTGTGAATTCTCCCTAAGTGCACCCTCCCTAAATGCATGGCCCATCCCATCCCCAAGCTTATAGAGAGCTTATAAAATCACCCTCCATAAATGCATGCTCACAAGAAATAGCACTATGTTCCCAAGGGGGGTCACTTATAGAGGGTTCACTGTATATGAATTGATCAATGAGGGGGGTTTGAATTTTTCCAGAATCAATTTCCATATTGGGTAAAATACCTGACTGTATTTAATTAGTCCCTATGATAACTAACTTGTTGATTTCAAAAATCTCCACTCCAGCAATGAAGAAAGTTCTAAACAAATTACTTCATTTTCCAGATCAGCAGTTAAAGGAGGATAGGTAAGTGAACATTGATGTAAAACACTTAAAATATTTCAATATTTGCTAGTGTTTACTTGTATGAATTTTCAGTCTACCTTATAAAATTGGCTCAAATATAACAATAAAAGAAGAATACAATAAATTCCTTGAATGTCAAGAGTCTTCTGGATATAAATATCAACAAAGAGATAATGGTGATGTATTTATAATTGACATGAGCAATCCCAAACATGGTTTAGTTGGTTTGTTGTTGCAACATCATTTCAATGCTCCCAATGCCAACTTTGATTATGACCCCCCATAGTTGTTGGTGGTAGTGATGAATGTAAGTAATTTTTTTAACTTATTTGACTTTTTGATCCATAATTATCCTTTGAAATTAATACCTTTCCTCAGTTCATTTTAGTTCATCCAGAAATGACCAATTAATTGCATTGGATGTAGGGATGGGGACGGTTTATGTCACGTCCGGCGACGAATAATATTTTTATAATTGATCCGTGACGATTAATTACTAAATTATAAGTGACAATTAATTTGTCTTGTTTTGGCAATATAAATGTCACCTGTAATTTAGTATATTAATCGTCACGGATCAATTATAAAAATATTATTCGTCGCCGGACGTGACATAAACCGTCCCCATCCCTAATTGGATGTTATGGTATATCCAAATGCAAGTTATGTCCAACAGCCTTGTATTCCATGTCCAGGCCCTCCTCCAGGAAACAGAAATGTATTTTTATTTTTTACACATGAACATATTTGTCGTTTGATTTTCTAAAGTTAATATTTTCCACATAGGGTTGGCCACATGCATGAATTGTTTGTGAAGTAGGCAATGGTCAATCCACTAAAGAATGGAATGACAAGTGCCAACTATGGATGAATCAAATTTACATACAATATGTACTTGGAATTAAATTACACAAAAAAAGAAATAGAAAAAATGATCTTGGGCAATATCATAGATCTATGATGGCTAGATTGTGGCAACAGGGAGTGGGGTACCAGGAGTAAGGTTTCTGGTCAAAACTGCTTCTATTAGTAGCCGAAATTGCCCAAATATTTTGGGCAAAAATTATTTTTTTATAAGCCCAAACTACTTTTTGTTATTAGCCGAAATTGGGCAAAATTATTTTAAAGTTGTTTAAGTTAAAACAAGTTGATTCATATAGTTTTTTAATGTTGATGCTTATAGAAAATGTTGAGAAGCCCAAATTGCCCAAACTAGTTTGGGCTTTGAGAAAACAGTTTGGACCAGAAACCTTAACTGGGTTTATTAGTTACTTACAGTCAAAGACTATTTTATGTAAGGTTATATATTTATTAAGCTCTGGCAAGCTTATTTTTTCAAATAGATGGACCAATTCGATTGCAAGTGATTGCCTATCTGTAGAATTTTTATCAACATTAACAACTTTAACGGTATCTTCCACTAAAGGTTCTATTCTTAATTCTTCTATCAAAGGTTGTATGCCTATTTCAGGGATTTTTGTTTTCTGTAAGTCTGTATTTTGTTCTGAGGATTCTTCAGGTAAATTAGGACACGGCAATTGTTAATGATTATAAAAACATACTGAACAACGCAAATTGTGTTTCTATGCAATAATACATGTCAGGCTCAAGACAAACTGCAACGAGCTCAGAGACTCAACACTGGGCTAACTCAGAGATCATCCAATGTGTTACAGCAATAGGCTCAGAGATCCTACCAAAAATCCCAATCAACTCAGAGATCAATTGTGTTCATTATTACAGAACTCAGAGATTCATACAAGGCAATAAGAGCAGGACTCTTGGCCTGTCAACAGAGCCAAAACATAAAAAAACATACTTTCCAGTTATTAAGTAGCACCTGCGCTCTTTTTGCTTTTGTATCATTTTCGTTAGTTGCAAATTTGTGGAGAAAGAACTTGAACACACTATGCTCTTTTGACCTATCTAAAAACTGCAATATTTCAGATCTCCATGCTAAAAAACCAATAAGTGACCACTTAAATGGTTCAGTATTTTGAAAATACTGAAAATAGTCAAATCCTGATTTATCTTCCATAGGTTCTGTTTACAGGGTAAATATTTTTTGATCGGGCATATATAAATTTTTTGTTTTGAGTCACAAATGTATGATATACACAAAAAAATTTTTTTACAAATATATATGTATGACCATGAGGTAATTAATCAAATTTGGTTTATCATAACAATCAGCCATCCCATCACACAGAAAAATTATTATTATTATAGTTATCAGTTGATCGAACATGATCCATATCCACCGATTTCTGCAACATTTTAGGGCACATTTATAAAAATTTCTAAGGGGTTACTAGAATTAGAAGCTAATTTCGCCCCCTTTTTTTT